ATTTTGGTCAATGACATGAGACAAAGTATATGTGAACTGCTGTATGAAAAGTGAATTTACTCTGTAAATCTTCATCCAAATCCTAATTTAAAAAAAAAAGAATAATGTTGCTTATAAGCAGCAAAACAAAAGTAGGTAAGTTGGGTTACATCAAAATTAAAATCTTTTGTGCTACAAATGATACGGTAATCAAGAAAGTAAAAAGACAACCCACAGACTGGGAAAGTATACTTGTAAATCGTATGTCTGAAAAGAAACGTACTCAAAAATATATAAAAAATTCTTATAATTCAGCGACAAAAAGACAAGTAACCAATAATAAAAATATAGGCAAAGGGTTTGGACATTTCCCCAAAGACATAATAGCCAATAAAACCAAAAACCAAACTCATTGCCATCAAGTTGGATCCGACTCACAGCTACTCCTCCTCAGTTTTCCAAGGTGGTGTCACTATAGAAGTAGACTGCCCAACCTTCGTTCTGAGGAGTGGCTGATAGGTGTGAACCCCCAGCCTTCTGGTTAGCAGTCAAATGCCTTAGGCACTATGCTACCAGAGCTCCTTTTTATAGGCATTAAGTACTTTAAAAGATGCTCAATATCATTATCTGCTAGGAAACTATAAATCACAGCCACGATGACATACCACATACCACTTCACACTCACTAGGGTGGTGTTATGGATTGAATTTTAAAAGTCACCCGAACATTCATGCTGCAAATCCTAATTCCTATACCTGTGGGTAGGCAGTTCAAATCCAGCAGCTGCTCCACGAAAGAAAGCTGTGATGGTCTACTTCTGTTAAGATTAAACTAAACCAAACTCATTGTGGCTGAGTTGTTTCCAACTCACAGTGAACCTATAGGACAGAGGAGAACTGCACTACACAATAGGGTTTCCCAGGCTATAATCATTATGGAAGCAGATCACCATATCTTTCTCCCTTGGAGTGGCTGGTGGGTTCAAATCACTGACTGTTCTGGTTAGCAATTAAGTGCTTAACCACAATGCCACCAAGACTCCTCTCTCGTAAAGATTACAGCTTTGGAAATCCTATGGGATACTTCTACTCTGTCCTATAGGGTCGCTATGAGTTGGAATTGACTTGACAGCTATGAGTTTTGTTTTTGGTTTCTATACCTGTGAATGTACTCCCACTTGGGAATAGGAATTTCATTGTTTTGTTAATGAGGCCAGAGTGTCGGGTGTGTCTTAAACCAATCACATTTGAGATACAGAAGTAGATTAGGCACAGAAGCAAGTAAATATAAATGAGGAAAGATTAATGCCACATAAAAATTACTAAGGAATCAGGCAAGAGAAGCTGAAAATGACAAAGATTTTTCCCGGAGTGGATAGAAAGAAACTACCCTGGAGCTGGTGCCCTGATTTCAGACTTCCAGCCTCCTACATCGTGAGAAAATAAATTTCAGTTCTTTAAAGTCACCCACTTGTGGTATTTCTGTTATAGAAGCACTAGCAAACTAAGACAGATGGCTATAAATCAAAAAGACAGACAATTACAAGTGGTAAAGATGTGAAGATGTTGAAACCCTCAAAACATGCTGGTAGGAATGTAAAATGGTACAGCCACTTTGATTAACAGTTGAACAGTTCCTCAAAAAGTTAAACACACAATTATCATGTTGTTGTTGTTGTTACATGCCGTCCAGTTGGACCTGACTCACAGCGACCCCTCCTTGGGTTTCCGAAGTGCTATCACTACAGAAGTAGATTGCCCAATCTTCCTTCTGATGAGTGGCTGGTGGGTTTGAACCAACAGCCTTCTGGTTAGTAGTCAAATGCCTTAGGCACTACGCCAGCAGAGCTCCTAAAGGATGTATGGATAAACAAAATGTAGTATACATACAATGAACTATTATTCAGCAATAAAAACAAAGAGAGTATTGTGACTAACTACATCCATGACTCTTGAAATCATGTTAAGTGAAAGAAGCCAGTCATAAAAGACCATATATTATATGATTTCATTTATATGAACTATCCAGGACAGGTAAATTTATAGAGACAAAAGTAGATTATTGTTGCTTATGGCTTAATGGGAGCTCTGGTGGCGTAGTGCCAAAGGCATGTGACTGCTAACCAGAAGGCTGGCAGTTCAAACCCATCAGCTATTCCACAGAAGGAAGATGGGGCAATCTACTTCCAGATTTACCACCTTGGAAACCCAATGGGGGTTGCTATGAGGCTGAACTGACTCGATGGCAGTGAGTTTGGTGTTTTTTTTAATGGCTTAATGGGGGAAGATGAGGAAAGAGAATGAAGACAGACTGGTAATGAGTACAGAGTCTCTTCAGGCGAGAGAAAAAACTGTTCACAACCCAGTCAACATGTTGAACAAAGAAAAGTCACTTTTTTGCATACTTTAAATGGGTTAAATGTATGGTATGCATCTCAATAAAGCCATTTAAAAAAAAATGAATAATCACAGAAGCAAACTGAAGCAGAAAAAAAAATCACAAGAAAAGAAGAAAATGGAAGAAGGATAGAGGAAGAAAAAGGAAAACAGGGAAAAAGTGAAGAGAAGGGAAGGAACAGGAAAAACAAAAAAATGGCACTTCTTGATAGGACCCCTGGTGGCACAACAGTTAAGTGCTCAGCTTCTAACCAAAAGATTGACAGTTTGAATTACTAAGCAATTCTGAGGGAGAAAGACCTAGAAATCTGCTTCTGTAAAAATTACAACCCAGAAAATCCTAATGAGGCAGTTCTACTGTCACATGGGTTGTTACGAGTTGGAACAGACTCAACAGCACCCAACAAAACAACAACAGTGGCTTGGTAGAAAATGAAGGTGTACTGGTATCACTGAGAACAGAAAGGGGAAGCCAAACTGGGAAAAATAATTTTGCAAAAGATAATCTAGAAAATGGACAAATTATATGGATGTAATCAATAGCTAGCTGATAGCTAGCTGGAGTATAATAATGCCAAGAAATCCAACATACCTACATCCCTGATGAAATTCTGAGGTCTATGTCCAGTGTCTACAAAATGCTGACAGTAATCATTATGGGGATTTAAGCTCTGTGTCCCCTAAAGAAAAAGTTAAAATTAAATTAATAGCATGTACTCTGAAATCAGATACACTAACTCTGTACATGTTGCTTTTATTATGAGGTCATACAAACTATAAGCAGATAGATTAAAAAAAAAAATTAGTGCTATTTGAAAACAACAAAACAATAAAGATAATTTTATTTTTCAGAAGCTATAGTCTTTAATATTTCATTACTTCAACCTAAAATGCCAAATATCAAGTGTAGTTCATGAATAATTTTAAGTGACCTTTATTTTATAATAATGATTCTGCATAAATGGAAATTCTTAAAAATAAGTAGGTTTTTAAAATCTTTTCAAGCACAAAGCTTAAATGTAAAGAGTTACAAGATTTGGAAATTATTTATTTACCTTAAGAAAAGTACTAGAATCTTTGTAAATCTCTTCTTCATATGGCAAATTCTCCTCCTCTTGTTGCATTTCCAGTTCATCCTTGGGGAAAAAAAAGATCAAGTAGATATTCTATATATAGGAACCATTTCTCTAAGTTTGACATCACAATCAAGACTTAAAATATATTGTATTTCCCTAGGATATAATAAATGTTTCAAAATACTTCTACAGTCAAACACTGACATTGTTGCTTTCTTATCATTATATCCAGCTAGCTTAGGAAGCTTTGGTGGCATACTGCCTAAGGCATTTGACTTGACGACTGTGAGTTTTGTTGTATATATTTTAATGGGAGCTCTGGAGTAGTGCCTAAGGTATTTGACTGCTAACCAGAAGGCTGACAGTTCAAACCCACCAGGCATTCCTCGGAAGGAAGACTGGGCAATCTACTTCCGTAGAGATACTGCCTTGGAAACCCAAGTAGAGGTTGCTATGAGTGGAACTGACTTGATGGCAGTTGAGTTTGGTTTTGTTTCTTTTTAAGCTGATTATTTGTACTATAAAGTAAAACTTGCCTCTTCAATATTTTCAGTAATAAACAGCTTCCTGGAACTACTAATGTATGGCTGACTGAACTATCTAAAATTATCTCATATAGGGTACTAAAAATACTAAAATTTAGCTCTAACATGAAAGATATAACCACCATGGGGCAACTTATTTCTATTAGATTGAACCAAGAAACTACTGTAAAAAGTCAAAAACGTTAGAGTATCAGCACTCACATACAGTTCAACCCAACGGAATTACAAATATATAAATCACACATTAGTATATATTAAAATGCAAAACACACACAAGGTAGTATTAATGAGATTTCATGTCCTAAGGATTTGAACTTCCTAGAGATTTACTGAAAAGATGCATTCTCTCCTTTATTAATTAAACCAAAACCAAACCCACCGCCATCAAGTCGATTCTGACTCATAGCAAACTCCACTGGGTTTCCAAGGCAGTAAATCTTTATAGAAGTAGATTGTCCATCTTCCTTCCAAGGAGTGTTAGTTGGCTTGAACCACCAACCTTTCGGGGTTTTTTTTTAAGGCCAAAATGCCATTATTTATTATTGTGCTTTAGGTACAAATTTACAGAGCAGAATTTGTTTTACATTTAACAGTTCATGTACATTTGGTTTCATTCCCCAATTATCATCCTCAACCCTAATCTATTCTCCTCTCCCTTCCCTGTGAACCCCAGCCCCGTGCCCTTCTTAACTATGTACTCCTGTCTCGTTACCAGTCAAATGCCTTAGGCACTGCACCATAGTTCTACAATTAACTTGAAAAAAATGGATATAGACTTTTTCTTCCTCAATATTTTCTTTTTAACTAAGTATTTCAGTCTGTAATTAGAAGCACAGAAGTTGGGTATTTTCTTGGGTCTTTTTCATAAATGGTTCTACATTTGCCATCTAGCCCATGAGTTCTCAAAACATTTTAATTGTACTACACTGATAACACAGAATCATAGAACTCAGAGACAGTAGTGTAGCTTCTTGAAATCTGACCCAGTTATCCAATGTTTCCAATACATTTACGTAGCATAGTGGCTAAGGCACTTGACTGCTCACCAGATGGCTGGTGGTTCAAACCCATCAGCCACTCCTTGGAAGGAAGGTTGGGCAATCCTACTTCCGTAGTGATACTGCCTCGGAAACCCAAGGAGGGGTCGCTATGAGTCAGGGCTGACTCGACGGCACATAACAACAACAACAACAACATAGTCTTTAAGGGGAGCTCTGGTAGCGTAGCACCTAAGACATACAACTGCTAACCAGAAGGTTGGCAGTTCAAACCCATGAGCCACTCCCTGGAAGGAAGGTTGGGCAATCAACTTCTGTAGTGATAGTGTTTCGGAAACCCAAGGAGGGGTCACTATGAGTCGGATCTGACCCAACGGCAGTGAGTTTGGTTTTGGTTATATTCTTTAACGTTATCATTGACTAGTGATTGATTACCAGGCATTGTGCTAAGTAGTATAAATACAGAATCTAATTTAATCCACACAATTTTTGAGTTATGAATGAAGGTTTTAGTTTGACTGAGAACACATGTACTACTGACAATTATTTCAGCACATTTTAAAATACAGCTTTCCCTCATAATTTGTTTTCCTGAATATTATCTATTGTTGTAAGGATTTATTTTTTTCTTGACAATAAAATTGTTCCATTCTCTACTTGCCTTATAGTCTTCCATTTTGTCTTCATCTGTCTCTCCTTCATCTAGATATTTACGTTTTGTATTTGGAGCAGAGGTATCATAGGAAGCCCTGAAAATTAAAACTGAAGTATCACACACATATATATCTTATACAAGAAGTATTAGTGTATTAACAGAATGTTACTAAATAATAGGTCTGAAAAAATAAAACCAAGGCAAATGTTTTATCATTGTTGCTGTTAGGTGCCATCAAGTCTGTTCCTGACTAAAGACAATCCATTTACCCAGCTTATAAATCATCCAAAAAGTCACATAACTTGTTTAATTTAAATTCTGTATTTTACCTTTATGAGAAAGCAACCACATGACAAAGTAAACTGTTGTAAGAGATACACTGCAAAAAGATATTCCATATTATATAGCAATCTAATCTCTCATGAACACACTGATGATCAAAATAGCTAGAATATAGTTTAAGTCCCTGGGTTAGGCTGTCTGACTTGTGAACAACTCATATTATCCTTTAATGTTAGGTAAATCTGCCCTTACTTTGAAATGAATGAAACAACCCTCTACTTGAAACAAACTCTTCATCACTATCACCTTCAACTGCTGAATGTGGAGGTTTTAAATCACTGAAAAGACGTCAGGCCTTTTCTTGCACTAAAGTAAGGCTAAATGAGAAATGTATCCATTGTTCTGACT